CTAGCTAGATGTTGCCATACGTTCTATGCTCACAGTTTCTTATCTTGCTTGTTGAACTCCGTCTCGGTTCCATATTTTTCAGCCAACATTAATCTACAGAAATTTAAATGCAATGTCAATCACTATCTACTGTTTCCCGATTGCTCTTTTCTCGTCCTGTTCATTATTGTTTCTGTTCCTAATTCCTCCAGACGCTGTAAACCCTTGCATGTGAGTGATTGTTTTACTCGGTGATACCGATTTAAAAAAAAAAAAAAAAAAATTTTTTTTTTTTTAGAGATTCCCAAAATTTAAAAAACTTTTCCTTTTATATTTTGTGTCTTATAATCTATTTCTTTATTTTTTGAGTAGAAATGATGGAACATTTATGGGGGATTTTTTGCATTTTTGAAAGTTCACAAAGCAATTCATATATACAATTTGTTCAGCAAAATACATCAATAATGGGTTTTTTATATTTTAATAAAAAACAACAAATGATAAAAAATATCCTTACTCTTACTTTTCAACAAATCCTCTAAAAACTTTTCATTTTGCAGAATATTCCATATATATATATATATATATATATATATATATACATACACACACACACACATCACTTGCCAACTCTATTTTAACTTTTATATTCTACAGCCGTGAGAGTATTATAACTTTGTTGTTGGTGAAATGTTAGTTGGGGCAAGCATATTCTAAATTTGAAAGTTTAGCATTGAATCTTGTCATTAAAAGACAAAATTTTTCAGTAGAATCATAAATATATCTAAGGCTAGTAAGGTACATTCAGTGTAACAAGCTTTATCTACTGTAGTTTCATTTAGATAAAAACAATTCTTTTTACATTATGGTTCACTCTGTACAAGGCTTGGGGTCACTCAAGGTAGAGGGTTATGTTTTAAGGGGCAGTTTATATGGATTTCCCTCTATTCAACTCGTGAGTATCAGATTCTCCAGGTCCTCCTTATGTGTCCCAGAAACTTCAGCTGCCCCTTCATGATTTTAAGTATAAGCCTCCTCCTTGTTTGCATCTTCTCTAAGATTTGATCGTCGCTCACACTTGGTCCATGATATCCTTAGCATCCTTCTGTAGAACCACATTTCCTTCGCCTTGAGTCTCTTCTTCATGTTTGAGGAAATTGTCCAACGTTCATTGCTGTAAAGGACAGATATCACATAACAGCTCAGTATTCTTTTCTTTGTTACCAAAGAAATTCTCCTGTCTCGCAATACTCTGCTCAGCTTTTGGAATGCGTACTGGGTTGTAAAAAATTTAAGTGGCTAAAACATATCAGGCTAGAGAGTGGTTTCTCTATATACAAGACACAGGTTCAAACTCTGCTAGAAGGTACATTTTCTTTCTTCAAAATTCAAATGCCCAGATATAGATTTACACTAAAACAAGACCCCCCAAACTTGGTTTAAAAAGTTTTATCGTCAAAATGCTTGTTATTATTAAGAAAGACCAAAGCATTTTTTAATTTTTTTTTTTTTTTTTCATCTTTTCTAGCACATTCAAAATTTTTGTTAAAAATCTTTTTTTTCTTGTGTCAGCAGGTGGACCAAAAATTATTATAGAAATTTTTTGCATTTTTTTTTTTTTGGCGTTAAAAACATTGTTTTAGAAATTCTTGCAAAATTCAAATAATTGTTGGGTTTTAATGAAATTTTCAGGAATTATTCACAAATGAATGAAATTAATTGGGATTTTTTTTTTTTTTTTTTAGAAAATCTTGGTAAAAATATTTTTTTTCATGTTACTCTCACTTGCTTAATTTTATGAAATTAAAATTTCAGCCACTTCATATTTATCTTAATTAAAAGCAAGCCTCCTTGGAGAATTTAAATCAATTTGTTTTTGTCAAGTTGAAACATCCTTTACCAATAAAGATGCCCTGAATCATAAAATGAAATAAAACTATTATTTAGACATTATTTAATTAGAAAAGCTTTTAATTGTTTTATAAATAAGATTTATTAAGGACACTATTATCTTAAGAAAAATATTTTTTTTGATAAATAATGAATTTTTACAAGAAGTTTTAAAAAATTTTAATTAGAAAAATTTATTAAGTTTTAAATCTTTTAAAATTCTGTATTAATTATTTTATGCACTGTGCCATATGTCCTTAAGGATGATAAAGGCGTTAGTTAGATCCAGTGACAGTGTGAGTTCAGTACCTGGTTAAGGCAGTGGAGAACTTGGAGAGGTGAATTAACAGGAGATAACGGATAACTGACATTTATTAGACATGGCACGTTGAACTAAAACAGTCTACCCCAGTGTGCAAAATAAAGTGTTCAGTTTGACATTCTAACCACCTAAAGAAGGCTGGAGTGAGCAATGTTTGAAACATTGCGATAGATATGGCAACAAAGATGAGGACAATAGTCTGAATAATGTAAATAGTATACATAATACCTCATCTCAGAAATATAGACAGATACTGAAGGTCCGAAACATTGTAATAAATATGGCAACAAAGATGAGGACAATAGTCCGGATAATGTAAATAGTGTACATAATACCTCATCTCAATAATATAGACAGATACTAGTTACTTGTCATTATGGATTTATTTAAATTTTCTTGTTCAGACATTTTTATGAATTTATGAATAAAGAAATTTCTTTTCATATTAATTTCTTTAATAAGATAACAAACAGGAAATCTTTATCAAAGCTTCATTCTCTGATGAAGTTTTAATAAATGCGAAACATGTTACATTGATAAACATTTCCTATTTGATCCTTATCCTATATATTCTGTCAGATTCCAATCTATTTAATCCCAACTCATTAATTTCTTTATAAAATGGTAAATTATTATTTCATTATAGTTGGTTCACATATTTTTATAAAATAAGTAAATCTAAACTTATAAGAATAAAATAAGAAATCTAATAGAGTTTAATATCTTTCTTGTAAATTCTTAAGAAAAAAGAAAATGCCTAAATCCACTTTCAATTTTGGGCTTTATTAAAATTCTAATTATAGCTTTTTAAAACAATTAACATTGCTGAGGGAGTCAAAAGTGTATACATTAAAAGGACAGTTATTCCTTTGACACATCGTTTTTTGTTTTTTTTTGTAGGCACAAAGGTTAAACATTGGTCTTATTTATTTAAAAAATATTTTGCAAGCTTAGTTTAAGAGATGTGCATAATGAAAATCAGGGCATTACTTCTACTGTCTAGCAAACTATTATTTCACGGTTAGACATTTTTTTTTGTGAGACACATTTTAAAAGTATTGAAGAAAATTAAAAAACTGTTTTAGACTCAACTAAGCACAATAAATCAATCCAGAAGATTCCAGATAACCTTGCTGCTCATGTAATCTATGTTTCATTCCCGAAATGAAACAGTAGCCATTTAAAAAAAATAGAAGACAAATTTTCGCTTTCAAAATATTTTAACCTGTACAATACAAAGTCTTACCTGTTCAGGAATTTACCTGTGACCTAAAAACCAGTGTTTAAGTTTTCTCACATAATAATTAGTCTGTAATGGCACAACAAAAAATTAAGACCATAGCAACAGACAACCAAGCAAGGTACCTCACCTCTGCCACTCCCTTGTTAAATAAGGAAGACTTTCTGTGTTAGGGGTGAGGAGTGTGATTAAGTGTTGACTTAATACTAGACACCAGACGGATGATTGGATCACACCTTTACATACAGACACAAAGATTAGGTGTTAGGTATAACTAAGCATTTACCTACTAATATATGCTAAATGAATGAATGGACTGTGACTTTTTCTGTATATTTCTAATAGTATCAAATCAGATTATCTGTAAAAGAATGTACTCACTTGGCAGTAACCATCTTCTCTTCAAGTAACATCTCAGAGAGTTACTTTTTCAAAATTAAACAAATGCTGAAGATTACATGAGCAGCCAGGTTCTACTGGGTTACATGGTACCAACATCAAGCCTTAAATCCTTGACCTGACCTATTGGCAGAAATAGCTTCCTGCCTTTTGTAATGGCATTAAGTGAACAAAAATTATTTCAGTTTGCTGATTAACTTGACTATGCTGTTCACCATTAGGCCAATAAGTTTTCTGTCCATAAAAATAATTTCCAGGCAAAAATACATTTAAATAACTATTTTTTTCTTTCTTTTAATTTTTGGAAGAAAAAAAAAATAATAAAAAAAATAAAAATAAACTGTCAATTAACGATAAATGTTAATTTGCTCTTTGGGAAAGAAATCTTTAAATGTACGCAAATGAAAGGAATATAAAAAGATGCAAGTTATATTCTGAAATCTTTAATAACTTTATTTATCATTCTAAATCCTTGGTTTTAAATAATTTATTTACTTGTTTTCAGTTTCATTATTTTTTATCAGTAATATTTGTCTTTTTGATATGTAAGGAAAAAAAATGTTAAACTTTTGGAGTTGGGAAAAAAAAAATTTTTTTTTCTTCACTTTAATATAATTGAAGTCAAGATTTATTTGATTTGATGTTCGTTCTTTTCATAAGAAAGGATTTCTCAAAACTGAAATAAGGTTGGGTTTGTTAAAATATCTTTTTATTTTAGGAATTGAACATTTTTTTTTTTTGACAATTTTTAAATTTGTATCCAAGCAAACATCAACACTAATCATGAGAAAGAAGGGTAGTTACTAGATGATCATTTCTGTACAAAAATTGATATCTTTGACAAATCTTGTTACTGAATTATTATTTTATTCCAAACCTTTATCCATGCATTTCTTATGCAGCCTCAAAGAAGCTATTAATGCTGATAAAAGTCAACAAAGGCAAGTAGTGACTATATTCTGATGCCTTCCCATCATGCATTATTTTGAATGGGTCCAATACTATGCAACATGCAGAAAGCCATATTTTTGACAGTTGGATGTTTACCCTATTGTGCAATTCAACTGAATTTGAATCAAGAGAAAAACAAAACTATCAGCTAAAAGCCATTTAATGATTTTTATTCCTGTGCCAGAAGTGAGCCCAAGTGGCCGCATTGCCAAATAAAGGTTATAATTGTCCACAATCTTTGATTATAATAGTTTTGGTTGGTTTTCCACTCTCCGTGCCTCGCTTCTCAATATCACTGATAAGTTTGTAGTCACTGATGACTTCTCCAAACACTACATGCTTGCCATCAAGCCTGCAATAGCAAAATAACATGAAAGTGAGAAAATAAAATGCTATGAAACAAAACTTTCAGGTTGACCAAGAGAAAATACATTTACTTATGAATAAATGTTTAAATTTTTAATCAAAAATCAGGAATAAATTTTATCATTTTTTTTTAAATTAATGAATAAAAATTATTTTTTGTTCTTATGAAATATTTGAAATCTTTCATGAAATTTTAGTCAGAAGGAACAAAATTTCTATTATTTCCTGCATTAAATTAAGATCTTTTCTGCAACATGCTACTGTTTTTTTTAAACATCTGAGAACTTTAGTATAATCTAAAATTTGGGGCTTCAAAATATAAAAGGGCTTAAACATGATAAATTGCAAACTACTTTTTTCACTACTGAATATTAGAGAACAGAATTAAAAAACTAAAAAACTAAATTCTATTCAAATTGAAAAAAAAAAAAAAAAAAAAAAAAAAGCAACTCTTGATCTCCTAGCTTCTTGTTAAAAATGACTAAACAACTGAAATTGCAAGAGAAATATTGAATTATATTGTTTAATCGTCTTCAGATGGTTAACACTTTCTAAATTTGATGAATAAGTTAAATTTTTTCTTTCAATGAAGTTCATTACTTACCAACTGGTGATTGCAGTGGTAATAAAAAACTGTGAGCCATTGGTGTTCTTACCAGCATTAGCCATGGACAGCAGACCTGAAGAGAAAACACAAAGGTATGATGTGGGGATTGGCATAGTTGACAGGTGTATATATATATATATATATATATATATATATATATATATATATATAAAACAGAATAGACAAGGATGGAAAGGTAGCTAAATTTACAATCTGTCTTGATCATTTGAAAGGTAATTTTAGATAATTTTAGATGCTTGTCCAACAAATTCTTTTGTAATTATAGCATCAAAAAGTTTATTTGAAGTGTCTACCATTAACACAGAAAGTTTAAATAAAAAAAAGAAGCATTAAAATCATTTTCCAAAAATAAGTTAATAAAAGAAATAGGAATAAAATTAAAATGTTTGTATTTTTGGTTGTCATTATAAAGCAGGAGCTGATGTCCAAATTTGAAAATGCTAGTTTCTCTTCAACAAAGAAAGCAATCAAGTTAAAGATTTCTTTGGCCTTCAAGTAACAAAAGCAAGTGATGTTTATTCCTTATTACTTCAATGACTATAGCTGAGAAGGTTATATATATATATATATATATATATATATAAAAATTGTTTTATATGCAAATATTGTGTACTAGAATACTTTCTCAGTGATATCTATTCTGGGGCCATAGAAAGTTTACGGACTCCATGACATCAAAGTTTCTTTCCCATGGGCCCAGTTGAGGGTATATATGGAAAATTTCAGATATAACTAAAAATACATCTTTAAAAAGACAATATAAATAAAGACAAACGGAAAACTTAGCCAACACATTTTTTAGTCCTCTGATGGACATTATATAAGAAAAATTCATGTCACAGTGATTGTCCAAATGTTCTGTAATTCTGTGCGCTTTCAGCTATACAAAAATAACATATCTTCTACAAAAGCCAAATGTACATCAAGATGAATCTTCACTTAGAAATATCAAAGAAATACACAACCCAGTTGATCTGAAATAAAGTTAATTATCTACTACAAAAAAATTTAAAACAGCTAACCTTATCCTCAAAAATAACAACACACCTGCAAAATCAAAACTTACAAAGAATGAACATTATTTACGAGTTCAAATGCCTAATAAAGAGCCATGTTCCTGATCAAACTGAACTCATAAATAATTACATCGGTCATGCTACTACGACTTATGTTATGCCTATCCGACTACAGTTCCATCAGAACCTATTTAAACACACACAAGAACTTACCAGACTCCATCCAAAACATACTAGTGTAAAATACAAGCATAATAGCCTCATCCACGTGTAAAAAAAAAAAGATTAAAAATAATGGAAGCCTCCATAATATAAAAAGAAAACACCAACACTCAATAATATTGACTATGAACACAGCCAGAATGTGCTGTGTTTGGTAAATAAAACAGCTCTATAACTCTAGATACATACACACAACCCATATATCCAGTTAGAAAATAAAAATAAAATCATCCTTGATAATGGATAAAAGTATAGATGAAAGCACTCAGAATTACAGAACATTTGGACAGTTTCTACACACTGCATCCAGGAAACACCTGTTTAAACACAAGAAAAATTAAATAAAAAGCTTAATCACAATACTTTGTTGTCTTTAATGAAAATGTATGGGTGTGTGTGTGTATATATATATATATATATATATATATTTGATGAGAAAGTTTAACCTGAATCCCTAATTACTAAGGTTTCCCATACCAACAAAACTTAGAGACAGCAATATATAAAATACATTGATAGAAACACACATACATTCAAGATTTAACTTTGCTGCTTTGTCTGTATTTATTTTTAATAGAACAAATAGCTTTCTCAGCTTGGCTTATTTTTATCAACATGATTCCCTGCAGTTAATCTTTGGTCTGTTCATTCACAATATGTCACAATGGCAATTCTATACACACACATCTTTCCTCTCTTTTATACCTATCGAAATAAAATGATGTGTGTATATTTTTATATAACTTTTCACAGTGCACAGATACTACATCATTTATAACAGTTGCAAAATAAACCTCAAATTTAAAAAAAAAAAAAAACAAAACAAAAAAAAAAAAAAACAAAAACAAAAAAAAAAACAAAAAACAAAAAAAAAAAAAAAAAAAAACAAAAACAAAAAAAATAAACTGCAATTATTTTTTCATTGACCTAATAATTTGGTGTAATTCTATAAATTTATTCTGGTATGAAATAAATCCACTTGATAAAACATAGACCCATTGACTCTTAGATAATCTTTATATTTCATTTAAGAAAGAAATACAAATTTCTTTAAAACCAAAGAGAAACAAAAATATCCAATAGAAGAAAAAAAATCAGTATTACTGTTTGTATTACTAAGTAGTTATTATTTACACATGAACTATCTCTGTTCTTATTATCACAATGTTTTGTCTGTTGTGCTCTCCAACCTTCATTAGGTGCTTTTTGATCTGAGTAACCTTTAGGGAATTTCAAACTGAATCCTTTATTTAATCTAGGGAGTAGATTGTTCTTGTTCTGTTGTCAAAACCAGTATATTTTCCAAAAAATATTGTAAACCTGTTCAACTTCAACAGAAAAAGTATTTTCAATGAAAGTGCCCTAAGCCTTAATGTGGCCTCTGAAGTGAGTGCATTCCTGGATTAGGATGGTTTTCAATCATTTTGGCTATAAAGTCAAATGATGGTGGCATTCAATGAGTCATTGGTATTGGTGTGTGTGTGTGTGTGTGTGGGGGGGGTCTGTTGGTTAGTCTCACCCTAGATGTAGTAGTTCTTGGGATTCAAAATAGAAGGGCCAGGAGACAACATAGGAGACATTATAGTGAAAATTCTCAGTCAGTCACTTCTCGTTTCCTTATCTATATGAGAGGGAACAAAGTCTTGCTAGAATATATACAGCTACCCCTCAATCTAAAGCTTTATCACTAGTGTCCAGTACTTTAATGTAGGTGGTAACATTGATCTGAGGCTCTGCAGGAAGATATGGGGTAGCAGGACATGGTCCCCATTGCTCATAACCAAAGGGCTGGCAACAAATGTACAGCTATTCAACATCAGTTCAAAAATTTCAGAACTGACTCAGAACCTTGAAGATGAAAAAGGTTGCAGATGTCTGTCTGATTAATGACATCTAATTAAATCAGGACCATTATTGAAGATGAATGCAAAACAACTGAGGAGGTTGTAGAAGAAATAAACTTTGACCATTCAACGGTTGTTCAGTGTTTGAATCAACTTGAAAGCTCAAAAAATGTGTGCTGCATGAGCAGAATGAAGATAAAAATTCACCATTACAAAGTCAACTCCATGCTTCTTTTACACAACAAAAAACAATCTGTGACAAAAGAATAGGCTATATATTAAAACTGATAATGTTCTGTATCAGGTGAAATCAAAATAATGTTCTGATCCCTGTTTGGTAGTTAGCATGTGGAATCCTCCATGACAGCATCTTGAATCCTGGAAAACAATCATCCTAGCAGAAAAGTATTGCCAGGAAATCAACAGAATACACTAAGAACTGCAGTGTTTCTCTCCAACATTGGCAAATCAAAAAAGGACCAATTCTTCTTCATGACAATGCCCAACCACATATCTTACAAATGACTGTGGAAATTGAACAAAAACACTATCACACTTAGTTTACCCACCAAACTCCTTTAAAACCAACTACCAATTTCTTATACATTTAACAATTTTCTGCAAGAGAATGCCAACCAAGAACCAGAATACATTAATTCCAGAATTCTATGCTACCAGAATAAGTAGACTTATTTATTGTCAGCAGCAATGTAAGTTGTTAGTTATTATTTCACTTAATGAATTTTATTCTAAGTCTGACAGCTTTTAAGTTGATTAAAAACTACAATTATTTTTTCACCAACCTATTGATTGATTTGATTTTTTACAACTCTTATCAGCTGAAATATATTTCAGATTGTAGGAAGTCGCTTACAGTACCCAATGTTCCCAAGTGGTCCACCATCTAAGTATATTATTAAAGCTCAGAGATAATATCAAAACAAATAATTTATTCAATATAATGAAAAAAATAGTTCAAAGAAATGTAACATTTAATTTATATGGGCACACAAAAACAGATGACACAAGCTGAGTTTGAAAACAGGAATAAATTTATTGTTAATACACAAAAATGAATGAATTGCACAAATTAAGTGGATTGTGTGCCAAATGGTGAACAATCAAAATTATAATAGTTATAATAGTGCATAAGGTCATCAGAAAAGAAAACTACATAAAATGAAGAAAAGGAGAAAATACTTCTCTGAACAGTTTTCAAAGAATTGGTACAATTTTCAAAGCAAAGTGTGTGGTAACAGTGAAGAATAGAACAAGCACACCAGCCAAAGACATTTCCTTGATGTGGGAGTGACTTTCATGTTCCTTTCAATTCTTGTTTGATGGCTGTCAAATTTCTTCTGTGTTACTTTTCTTTCTGGACATAGTGTTATATTATATGAGGATGTTTACAGATTGATTTCTAACACTATTTGTCATTTGTCCTTCATTTTTCACAATATTTATGGAATATGTGCATATTAACCTTTAGCACTCTGCATTATTAATATTACTTCCCTTTCCACTGCATTCTTTTTCAAGGCTTCTCAATTTGAGTATCTTTATTGTTAATTTCATTCAAAGTTGTTTTCTGTTACCATAGTAGGATATGACAACACAACTATGAATTTTCAAACATACTATTGTTCATTGATCAGAGTCACCTTCAGTAGCAGGACAAACATTTTGTACAGCAAATAAAATCTGATACATAGTGATAAAGGTTACTAGTTGATAGTATTCTCTTATGTATTTGGTTTCACATTATTTCATGTCATGGTGGAAGGAGGATTTTTGTTTAAATTTTACTCTAAGTTTTGCTTCCCCATCTTGTAGATTATCCAAAAAAGGATTTAAAGAGCTGAGAGAGAGGATCTTAGTGCTATAAATGTTTAAAAATGTTTAACTTTATTAAATGTACTATTTTCTTTGTTTTAAGAATAGTCTCATAATTTATTGGTATTCTATGTTTAAATGTAAGTATTTTTTTAAAAATAGAATTACTTAGGAACTGTGCAATTTGCATAGAAATGCACATCTACAACATGGAAAATTCTAAGCACACATTTATAAAAATTGACAGGTCAAGCCAAATTGCAAAGAGAAAACTTACCCCTTCTTGAGTGCTTCACATTGAAGTTCTCATCATCAAATTTGTTTCCATAAATACTTTTGCCTCCAGTTCCATCTCCTCGAGTAAAATCTCCTCCTTGAATCATGAACCCAGGAATAATGCGATGGAATTTGGAACCTTTGTAACCAAAACCTTTTTCCCCAGTACAAAGACAGCGGAAGTTTTCTGAAAGCAACAGTAAATCCTGAATTATAAAAAGCCTGCACACAACTTTGAGATGAAGGTAAATAAAAATCTATCAAATAGAGAGTGAAAAAAATGGGAAGGTGAGCAATATTCAGAAAGGAGAGGAAAAATAAAAATTAAATTACTTACCAGCTGTCTTGGCACAGGATTCATCATAGAGCTGCAGTTAGAAAAAAATCATAGTCACTCAGTTTGACAAATGAGTGATTCTAAAATCAAGAGTGACACTAAGGAAAATACAAAAATCTGAATCTATCAAAAGACAATCACAATCAGAACAAAAAAGATATTTATTGATTTTATCCTGTGGACTTCATTCTATAACATAAGAGTGACTTTTATATTGAAAAGTGGACATAGAAGACATAATTCAATGATCTCCATAATCAGAATGGCAGAGGAATTTCACCATTTAATAATGGTCATAAGCATCAACTTGTGTAATTTGAACCCCTAATGCAGCTATTTACTAAACACAGCCTATATAAATACATTCTGATTGTCAATCAAAACATAAATAAATGCCAAGTTGTAAGGCAATTGTATAAGGAATATAATTACCCTCTAAAAATTTAGTTGCCATTGACAATAAAGAAGAGATTGAATTTGGCACTAAAATGTTGATAAAAATAATTTAGGTGGCCTTTTATAAAGAAAGGATTTTTTTTGTTTGTGCTGTCAAATAAATTGGGCAACTTCTCAAATATTGTTTTTTTTATTCTATCTATTCAATAATGCTTTCTTAGCTATAAGGAGGTGGCTTGCTGTTATTTATCCCGGTCGCAATGCAGTCAAATAAACTGAAATCAATATTCACTAAATCATTTGTTTATCTATTTTTTAAAGGGTCCTTTAAATAATTTAATAATTTTAGTTTTTAATAATAAAGATTTCACCATATCTTCCCTGCTCAATTATTACACATTCCTTACCCAACCCATATTAACAATTCAAATAGAAGAGGTATGTTTGCTTGTATAATTAAAGAAAATGAATGTTTTTGACACATTAACATTTATAAGGGTCATGTAGTATCAAACTCAATAATACTAATGTTAGATCCAGAATATTTCTAAATGATAAAACCTTTTGTTAAAGGAAAAATTATAATTATATTTAAATTATAAAATTTTTCTTAAGTTTTGCAAAATGTTCTGACAAAATTTTTACTGAGGTCATGAATTTTAAATTACATTTTTACTAATATTTGTGCCCATTAAAAAAGCCTACTTGACTTCAAAAATGGAATTACCTTTAAATGATTTACTTAGATAATTTAAAAATCATTACCAATTTTCTGCTTTTTCCTTTCCCAAATCATTTCTCAGCTTCACAGAAAGAAATGGTTTAATTTTTTATAATTAATATTCAACTGGCAAATATTTAATTATTATAAATATAATAAGACATAAGTGGGGAGATCAGTTAAAATATTATTCATGTACTAAACAGATCCCAAAAGATTTACCACATTTTCATTTATCAAATGGCTCATCATTTAACTAATTAAAAAAAATTAGGGTTGTGAAATTAATTTTGAACTGATATCTTTTTTTTTTAAAAAAAAAAACAATTAATTTGGTAATTAATTAATTATAAACAAACTGAGTATGTGTATTTACCAAAGCAGATTCATATTGCTGTTTGAGAAATTAACATAAATTAAACATTTTCTGAGTTCAAACTTTAAAATTAAAAATGTTAAAGTCAAATTTAATTTTAATTGCATCAATTAATAATAATCAAATGAGTTGTTAGTGAAACAACAATTACTAGGAATTCTTTTTAATATAACTAGTCATTTAAAATATTATAGCTCAACATAGACTAGTAACATAAAAAATGAATTAAGTTCACTTTTCTTTTTAATTTTAACCTAGCTAATTTATATTATTTTGAAATGTTTCTAGTGCCATAAATTTTGAATAAGTGTGTGATGGAGGAGACACAGTGAAGGCTGCCAGGTGATTTTACAATGAGGAGATCAATTCAAATTGTCAAAAAGTTTCTCAAATACTTTTTTTTTTATTTTAAAAAGGTGGGTATTTGTGAGTGGAAACAGTTAACCCACTTTCATTTTTTTCTATTTGTGAAAATAAGTTTTTTCTTTTATTAAATTTAGAGTAAAACACGTGACCCACTTTAGTCTTGATGTTTATCAGAGTTGACTAAATGAATCCTCCCTATTTTAGCATCACAGATTTTACAAGTATATGGATGGAGCAATATATGTGCATTGAAGGTAGTCTAGAGAATATAAAAATGACAGATACCTACTTTGAATCTAAAATGAAATCAAATAATTAAAGTAAAAATAAAACCCAGCCGATTTTAGCAGATAGTATTAAAAAAAAGAAGAAGAAGAAAGATTGGACGTGGGGAGGGATTGATTTTAGGAGAATAAAATGAAATTGGCAGAATATTTCTTTTTAATAAGTAATCAGAAAATCTCCGATCGTCATTATTAAGTGATAAAAAAAAAATAAAAAAATAAAATAAATTATTATTATTTACCATTCAAAATTTCTAAACAAAAGGGAATTATTTAAACTTTTTGTTTAAAATAAATTCCTTTTTGAAACTCACCGAAAAATTCTCGTCTAAATTATTGAATTTTTCAAAAATCGAATAAAACAAACAAAAAAAAAATTATCAGAAACCCTTTCTCTCCCTTTTTAATGATGCTGCTGCTGATGATGATGATAGTAAAATTGATGTTTATTGTTTATTTTTTTTTTACCGTACGCATTATTTACCAAAGGGGATTCCTTTTTTGATCTTTTTACTAAAATTTACCCCGACTCGAACAACGCAAAATGCTTAATTCTTCATAAAGATAGCGAAATAATCACGTGATAACCTTTTTCCCGTAAGAAGTTCTGAAGGCAGGAAAGAAAATATCAATCACTGCATATATTTTTTATTTTTTGTAAATGTTTTCTTTTTTGTTTTCCATTCGTTGTTATTATCATTTTTGTTGTTGCTGTTGTCGTCCCCTTCCTCCTTTCCCTGAAAAAGATTCGTGTCAAATTTCATTTCATTTACTACAGATTATTCATGTCTTCAGTGAGTTTTTTTTTTTTTTTTAATTTTCTATAAAAAATAATCATCAATTAGGCTGCGATGATTCTCTAGAAAATGCTTTGACAGTCAAGAACAAATTCAAGCTTTTTAAATTTTATTTATTTAAAAAATAACTGAAATTTAAAGAGAAAGTGAGTGAGTGAGTCATCTTTTTGTGCCTCTCGGTGATCGTATCAATAAATTTTGCTTGATTGTCCCACCCACGTCAATCGCGATTTGTCTCAAGAAAAAATAAGAAACATTGCGAACAACAGATGATTATTACTTACATCATGATTGATTTATCTACGACGACAAAGGGGGCGCTGAAAAGTTCTCGACCCGACACCCCCTCCAAATCTGACTAAAAATGAACAAACAAAATATTTTTTTTTTTAAGGACTTTTCATTACTACCAACTCATAATTGATCTGAGGATAGAAAAACAAAAAAACTGTTCATTCCTTTCAACAACAAAACGTTAATGATGGGAGTCGTTAAGGAGGGGGAGTCGAAGGATTCATTTTGCTTTGTTTTTTTCTCTCTCTCTCTGTCTCTCTGCTTTTGGTTCTCTCACATTTATTATTAACAATGCAATTTATTATTCAGATGTACATTTCCAGTAAAAATAAAATCTCTCTAAAAAAAGAGATGATGAGCGTAGAAGATCGAACCAAACGTGTGCCTTAGTTACATCATTTGCAACTTGAGATAATGAAAGCAGAGAATTAATTATTATTATTATTATTATTATTATTGTTGATGATGATGATAATCGTCGATGACATGATGAAAATGAATTTTTGGTCAATAATAATTAATTATTGATAATAAACTTCATTTTGCAGGGAAAATAGATATATTAAAAAAATGATTAATTTTATTTCATTCATTTATTTATTTTCATAAAAAAATAATCATTGATAAAAAAAAAGAAAGATATTTTTTAAAATGAAACATAACAATATGATTCACTTTTTCTGGAAGGAGGAGTTAAAAAAGAAAGATACATTTTTTCTTATTAACCAAATAATTTATTTAAATTTGTTAATAAATAATTTTCTTTTTATATCTGATTATTTTGTTATCGATATTTTAATATTTATTAAATATTAATTATTATCCTCAAAAATCTTAATCGGATTTGAAATGCGCAGAAAACAACAGAAAAATTAAAAATATCGATAATTGATTTGATTTTCTTTTTCATTTCTTTGTTTTCAAGGTAAATAAATAAATACCTCTTTTCTTTTAACGTTCATAAATAAAGAAAAATAAAAAAAAGAATATTTTGAGCAGATTTTTTAAGGATCATCTCAATTTTTTAATGCAATCATTTTTTTTTGTTTGACTGGTAAAAAAATCTTTTTGATTCATTTTTCTTTTTTACCTGACGTTTTAATTTATATTTTGTAAAAAGTTAATCAATCAGAAATAAAAATTTTATTTCTGACTGATTTTTAAAAAATATATTTTTCATTTTTTCTTTCTGTTCATAAATGAATTACTTTTTTAATTTCAGTCCGTATTTTCATTTTTATTTCTCCAAATCTCTTAATATTCTCATTAGATAATGACCTTATTTTTTAATTAAATCAATCTATGAATGAATATTTTCAAAGAAAGAATATTGGGTAATTTGCTTTTCAAGCCCCGCGCTAACAAATTTCTGGAATCATTATATTAGGTGTGTAAATTTACATGCTTAATTCGAAAATAACAAAGAAATTTTGATAAAATCTACTGTTTTGGAGTTATTGACAATAAAAGTTCGGACTCAGTCGCGTTCAGCCGTCACCCATTATTGGCTTTGTTTAACTACATTCACTGCATAACATTTTGCACGCGGAAGCTTAATTAACGGCCTTTGTTACTGCTCTTTACTTTAACTGATCTTACTCGTCTAAATTACTGCGCACTTAAGTTGTGTCGGAAAGAAATGACAAATTTTTTTTTTTGTTTTTTTTTTATATAGTAAACCACTTTTCCTGTGTAGAAAAGCAATGACAACTATTATAAAAGCTTTTACTTTAAATTAAAAATAAAACAAATAATAATTAATGCGCAAACTTTGTAAAGAGCATGAATATTTACAAAAAAAATGCTAGAAAGGAAATAATTAATAAGCAAAGTTTGCGCATTAATTATTTCGTTTCTAGCATTTTTTTAAAAATTTAGATAACTTCAAAATGGTAGATTTTATCAAAGTTAATATTTTCGAGTTCAGCATGTGTAAAAATTTACACGGAAATATAACGATTTGGGAATTTTTTAAAAAAAGCAAATTAATTAACCAGAAGCCTTTTTAAGTTTAAAAAATAAATTATTTTGGATTTTTTTTTTAATTTTCGGAGTTTTACTTTTTTTTTCTTTTTTTTTTTAGACATATTTTTTTTACGCTTATTTTTCACATTTTTTTCATATTAATTCAATCTATTTATTTATCATCTCTTAATCCGATTTAGCCTGATTTAGATTTATTCAGTTTTTTTTGTCTGTTCATGTCAATTATCATCCTCACTATTAAAATACTCCACAAATGTGACCTTGTGTCAGACTAGGTTTAACAAAATTATATTTATGTGAATTTATTATCCGAATAACATAATTTGTCTTTTCTAATATTTCATTTTTTAAAAATATTTGTACCATATTCCTCAAACGTAACATTTCAAAACAAATCAACAAATCTGAATCTTTTTAAATTTTTAGAAAAAAAAATCAATAAATTAGTTTTAAAAAGAAACAGATATTAACTTTGAAAGTTAATTTTTCAGAATTGTAAAAATTGTAAATAAATTAAAAATACAATTAAATTAAAAAAAAAAATCACTTGTCTTAGAGATTAAAAATTAAAACATTTTTCTATTTTAATTACATTTTTTTAAATGCATTTTTATTTTTTATAGATTCCTTATTTTTTTAATCGATATTTTTTATTTAAAGAATTAAAAAAAAATAATTTATTCTTCTTCTTAATCTTCTTACCTTACAATTGTTAAAAATTAATTAAAAAATTGAAAACTAAAATTTTTTATGAAAATTATGAACAGATCTGACACAAAAAGATAACTTAAACACAAAAATCAACCAACAAGAATTTTTGAGAGAAGAACAAACAAAAACAAAGAAAAAGGGTTGGAATCATTTTTTTTCTTGCTTACCAAAAATTCAATGCGCCCAGCAATCGAAGGGTCCCCTTCAGATTCTACGTCGAAATAACATTTTACAGTTCCTTTTCCTTCCATTTTGTTATTTAAGTTAAAAGCCCAAGAAAAAAAGCGATGCACTTTGGGTTCTATTTTTGTAAGCAATTGAAAGAATACAAAAAAATTTTTTTTTTTTTTTTAGCAGAGAAGAAAATTCAATCCAAACAGACCGAATCCAAATTGCCGTCTGCAACAGAGGAACTATTTTCATAGCACTTTATATAGTACATCGGTCGTTTCACATAAGGGATATTTCTCGAAACACCTAGATTAATATCTTAATTGCAGCAAAAACAATACTTCCATATACAAAAAATATACTAAGATATATTGATCGAATATAAGTAAAATATTTTTTATGCGGTAATAACTGAACTATCATGTTTACATTGGTAACTATTTTGTGACGCGTTGGTAGATTTGATGCGTGCTCATTCCCTCCCTCCATGGTGAAAAATATGTCGACCCTTTTATTTTAGATTTTCAAGAAGTGATATTTTCTTCTTTTAGACATTTTTAATTTTATCTCTTTAGTTTCATCAAAACAATAATTTTTCAGTGAATAAAATTTATTTATATAGCCATTATGTTTTTTAAAAAAAAATGAGAGCTCGTTTCACGAGGAATAATAACCACTTCTGCCATTAGTAAAATAAAATGATAATGAATCAGTAGACGGCTCTTGCCATCTTGCGTAAATGCTGTCAAAATGTCTTTAAAAAATACAATAAAAATTTTATCTTTCATTTCTGCTTATTTTCTTTTTTCACAGTTTGTTTAAAAAATAATATTAATTTCCTTTAAAATATTCTATGTATTTTATATATATATTTTTTTTTTAGAAAAATGTACTTTTTCTTTTTTATTTCTGTCACAATGTTTTTCATTATATTTTTTAGGCTATTTTTAGCAGTTTGTTAGAATTTGAATATTTTGGATCGTAATCTTTCTTTTAGACTAGTATAGAATTTTGAAAGACAAGGAAAATTTTCTCAATTTTTATACTTTTACTTTTTTTTATTCATTTTTTTTTAATGTTAAAATTTTCTAATGTTACAATTTGATGTATTATTATCTTTTTACAAACGATTAATTTAATTTTTGACAAAAACTATCGGATCTAACGATGGTTTCTCCTGCAAAGTGTGACACAGGTTCGAATCCTGCCGAAAGGTGCATTTTTAGTATTAAGATTTCTCGAATATTCAGGCCGGTAGACGAAATAAATACTGTTTAGTTTGTTTGTTTTTACTAACGTTTTTAAAGGGCGCTCGCGCGCGCACACACACACACACACACACACACACACACACACACATTGCGTTTTGACAGCATGTTTTCATTTTTAAGATATCATATGTTTCATTAAATAATTACGCAAGTTTTGTATAAACTTATCTTTAGGATCCTCTCGTAATTACGGACAAATTTCTTAGTATCCTTGTTAAGGCAAGAATGAAGATTATCATGTTGATGCATATTCATTTTTTTCTGAGTACTTTCGACATTAGCACAATGTCGTCATCAGGGTTTTGTCTTTTCGAGAAAAATGATAAACGCAACAATTTTTTGTCTTAAAAAATCCCAAAATCCTGATGACGAAATTGTGCTAAGTTGCTTTTCCGTTTTTACTTACTTATCACTTCTAGGTTCAACGTGTGGTTTTAGTAATCTATTGATACCGTTGACTGTATATCATTGTTCATTTTGTTATAAAATAAAATAAGACATATCTCGGCTGATTTGGAGGCAAATAAACTAACATAATTAAGAGCGAGAGCCGGATGTTAATGGGTCAAGGCCCCGTCAGGAAATGACCATTATCGTCGTCTACGCATAAGCCCGACGCACAAGTTCCAGTCGAAAAATAAAATATTTTAAAGTGTTTCTATTTTTCGACCAATTAAAATGCTTCCCTCCTAATTATACTCGCGTCGTTTTACGAGCCTGTTAAGCCATAAAAAAACGCCATAAAAGGGGTAACACGGGGAAGTACAACAGCAGTCAACAGGAGGCCAGGGAAGAGATCGGTCACGGTCGGTCTGAGCAGCCAGCAGCAGTAGCGACACGCCAACCCGCGAGAACTACTATGAGAGATCAACCCAGGTCGGCAGACGGCTTATGAACTATACCACAAGGTAGCTGTCCCAAACCCACACGTTCCTATTGAAATAAATCACGTAAATCTATTTCTGCTGTTGTCGTATTTCCTTCTTGCAACCATACGCTTGTCTATAACAATTTTAATTACAAAATATTGGTCAGTTGTACGTAACACATAGAAGGGACCAATGTAAGGGGTTTTCCGAGGCTTGCGGACTACTTGTCTATTCTTAACTATACAGTACACTTTTTACATGCCTTAACCTCGTCAGAGCTATAATCTTTGTTGAATGCAAGGAGTGACAGGTACATTTAACTCCTTAGCAAACTTCTGATTATCTATGTTATCGTTACAATCATCTACTAGCAACCGAGGGATCATTATATGCATTTCTGTAACAGTGTAACTGTAAAAAGAAGGGTGAAGTATTGGAAGAATTGAGTACAGTACGGATACCCATTTACTATTATTGGAAGGGCGTCTTGCGTCCAGCTATGACTCTTTTCTAGCTAATAATGTTGTCATAATTGTCCTATGTGCATGCTCGATTACTCCGTTCGTGTGCAGATGGTAAATAGTTGTGTGCAATCTATAAAAGCTAACTATTTGAGGCCATCTCTGAATACAATTCGCTCTCAAACTGAATAGAGCACGATCGGTTATCACATGACGTTGAACACACCAACGTGTGATCCATGCGTGAACGAATGCATTGGCTACAGATCAGGCTGTTACATCTGGTAATGGTTCTGCTTCGATTGTGCACGTATCTGTATGTAGTATTGTAGGTTTCATAACGTTTTCTAGTAACAGGGAGTAAGCCGTATTAAAGCGAACAGTAGGCAACTCAATAGGGTGAATAGCAGATAGTATTGTGGCGGACTTCACCACATTAATTTAACTTTGATTAGGAAACCAAATTGACGTGAAGAAAAAAAGGATAAGCCAAAGACATCATTACACATAAAATTTGTATTTAACAAGGTGTACAAACAAAGATGTGAAAGAAAAGCATGCATTGAGTAAAACAAGAGTTGTCTCTCTTTAACTATTGTGTTCCAAAGTTCACTGAAAGAAAAATTGTGATAGTTTCTGGTAATAAATATTTTCAACAGTTTTGCTGTGTAAGGAAAAAGATTATGTGAAATGTATAAGGAATGTTCAGCATGTGGTGTGAGTGAGAAGGTTGGAAAAGTTCGTAAGAGTTCGTACGTACGTGAATGCGTGAAATATTATTTAACGTCTGACCGCATGGTCGATACGATAATTCTTAAAGGTCACATCTTCGCAGGAAGAAGAGAGAAAAAGAGAAAGAGGCAAACTCGTGTTTGCTATTTATAGATAATGTAATCACGTGACAGGATCACATTACCTTGGCGGGAAACTTGACTTAGTCACGCGCTGGAAAAATATATTGTGCGTGGGTGGATTGCAACGCTCACTTGTGTGTTTATTGACCAATTAGCGAGCGAGTTTTGGGGAGACCTAAGAAAGCCTTTGGGATCCGATTCTCCCAAAAATGCACGAAATCGACTACATGAAAATACAGTGTTTATAAAATTGTCGCATAGCTGCGATTTATAAATTGTCCATTACACATTAGTGTTGATTTATTATCCAATGAATGTTTGTAGTATAATTTGAATTTGTGTATGTGATGATGATCATCATTACAGTATGTCTCTGAATTTTGCTTTTATCATTACACATTTCTTTCATTTTATTGTCCATATGAGGCCCCAAAAAATCTTGTTTTGATAAATTTACTCGACATTTTAATTCACGGGTGTGATATTGCTTAAATACTATCGAAAATAGATTTTCGTAATTTACCAGGTACATATGATCTGTGAATTTTGGTAGCATTATCAAAGTATATGGAACAATTATTATCAGTACTAAAATTCTATTTTTTTTAATTTTTTAAACACAGGGTTCTTAAGTTGTACAGCAACTGTAGCTGGCAAGTCACACAACCGTGACTATTAGAGTAGATCTAGACGAGCAATCACCTAATGTTTTGATCTTCCTTTATGTCTATATATTCTGTGATAATTGCTACTTGCCGCTGTTGTCTATCTGACTTAACAGAGTTTATACTACGGAATGCGCCGCACAAAGGCTTATGGCCAGTTAATAATAAATCTTGTGAGTTAACTTTGTATAGAAGAAGCCTATTGGAATTAGTTTGTTGGTTGCGTTTTATGGCATATCAACCACTGTAGGTCATTTAATGTCAAATTTAGTTATATATATATATATATATATATATATATATATATATAGATATATATATATAGATATATAGTACTAGTAAACGTATAGCTGGCAACATTATTATTTTTTCAAAAACGTATAACTCGCAACATTATTTTTTCAAAAACGTATAGCTGGCAACATTATTTTTTCAAAAACGTATAGCTGGCAACATTATTTTTGGACGTAGTTTATCGCCATACCCAGGACGCGGATGTAGTTTATCGCCATACCCAGGACGTGGATATATGATGGGAAAATCTGGGAGTTCACTATTTGCCTATAGCTGGGACCCTAACAGGTGCTACCACTCCGGGTCAGGGTGGGCCTGGGAACAGCAGCAATTAAGTGGTGGTTCCACGCTTCCTCAAAACCTCCTAACCAGAGGCATTGCTGTTGGATGTAGTTTATCGTCTTACCCAGCACGGTGTTGGAATTGGTTCTCCTTGTAGTATTTGATGTAGGGTTGCACCAATTTCATAATTATTGCTATATCAGTAATCAACTGATATTCAGTACAGTCAGACCGTTGGTGAGCTAAAGACGGAAATTCGCCGATTATGTTTTATCGTTAAATGATTGCAATTCCAAATCATTTAATGTAAATGTATTATTGCATATACGTATTTTTCTGTTAATGGCATGACTGTCTGCAAAGTTTGGTGTTAATTTTCTATAA